AGCCTTGGCCAACCTATCCTCCACCGAATCGACCACAGTAGGTGATCAGCATCGAACCATGGCCAGGGCCGATTATGCAAGGGAGAGCCACTCCGCGAGACTCTAGCCATGACGATCAATGGAGGCAAGCAGATCATCATTATTAATCCACCTCCTTTGATGACAAGGGGGCTGGTGGTGAACCGTCGATGAGGAAGGCCCTGAAGGCCGAACGAAATCGACCCTATTCCCCGAGGCAACGAAGGCATCACGAGATGCACCCTCTTGATGATGGATGCACTGGCATGATGATACAGATCCATCGAGGCCCTCTGCAGCAGGCATCTTACTGCCCTCCATAATCTCAAACCTACAGAAGAGCAGGAACTGTATAAAGATGCAGAAGGTTTGAGGCAAAGCGGGTTGTTGTTGGATCCATAACCATGGCCCATATATATATCCCTGGGATGTGGGAAGATAGGATCCACCAAGGGAGTGAATCGAAAATGGAAGCGGAACGGTACCCCTAGGAATTCAGGATGGATAATGAAGAGATAACAGATTCGGACCTATTGCTTCCCCAAAATTACAAAATATCGAGAAATGGATTCAAAGATTGACCAGAGATCAACCTATCAAGGCTTCTTTGGATTAAAGGGAGCCCAAACCCTGCAAGGCCAAAGGTCATCATGGGACGAATCGACATCGGCCCATTGTACCCGAGAAGAGGGAAAATCGCCCGCCCAGCATGCGATCAGCCGATTTCTCGGTAAATCGGGAAACTATAGGGAAGAAGCCTGTGGCTTTCCCGGTGGACGTTTAGTGGAACAAACAAGGGAAAGGTGTCCACACATTTTAGCCCTTGCAAACACTAGAATAGCTCTACGAGCATGGTGAGAAGACACAGGTGATATCACAAGACTTCTTCTAGCCGTAGTAGCTGATTCTCTTGCTCGACAAGGCGCTAGAATGAGCGACACAATCACCCTATGCACAAGAATTCTTCTAACCACTCAAGATCTTCATAGCAGAAGAATAGACCATGGAGGGTCCAGCGGAGTCAAGAACACTCAAGGATACAGATAAAGGGGAAACATGGCTGAATTGTTGAATTGCTCTCGTCGGGTCGGATAGGCATTCTATAGTCGGCCCGGGAAGACGAATCCAAGTGCTCGGGAAGATGCGACACTTTTGTGAAAAGTTTTGAGGCATAGGCTCATGGGTGGACGCAAGCGGTGACAAACGATGGACCCCATATCAAGGTTCTCTACCCGTGACTGCAGACCAATCAGGGATACAGACATGATAATTTTGGAATAAAATTACTTTTATCCTAAAATTGGGGGGCATGTGTTTACACCAAAATTTGGAAGAAGAGCTGCAGGGCTCGAAAGATTCCAAAATCATGTCGTCAAGGAATCAATTGCATGCAGATTGGAACCAGCTGATTCGGATACCAAAAACTAGAATCGGCTTTCTCCGGATATCGCCAGAGGATAACGACGAAGGCTACGGTTCGGCGCTGGGACGAAAGACATGTGGGACTCTATAAAAAGGAAAGATTAGAGTCTAAGTTATCTTAAGTTAGGAATGTTTTCTTTAGAGTCAAAATTTGTGATGAGTCGTGCTTAGATAGGAGTCGTACGCAGGTCCCGGGTATAAATACTAAACCCCGGCTATTGTAAAATCATCAATCAATCAAATACAAGATAATTTACTTTTTTTTGGCTCTAGCCACCTCTTAGGAGTAGGAGTAGAGTAGACCTCGGCGAGTTCTTCAGCTGAGTACGGCTGCATCGATCCGGTCGACCTCCACTGCTTGTCTATAAGTACCATCATGGTTTATACCTCTATTCGTATGGCTACATCGATCTGGTCGACCCCTACTGTGACTCTGGTATAGGCTAGTTATCGACTCTTGCCTAGTTCAAGTATGGCATGTGTGATTCTGCCTCACACCCCACTGTTTGAACTAGATCAAGGTCAAGTTATCGGCTTTACCTTTGAATGACAGTCTTTGGTAGATTCATTAAGTTACCGATATTGCTTATTGCTTTCATTGTTTATCTAATTACAGCAATATCACTCTGCCCGATTGAGATTGATCTGGATTGGCCTTATATCTTATTTAACCCATCGTTTGCTAATCTAAAACTGATCTAATCTACATCTTAAACGATGAGTTATGTTTTTATTGGCTGTTTTATATCAATCTTAATCATGCATAGTATGTGGTTAAGGCATGTTCGATCTTGAGTAGATCTATTGGTTAGCGAAAACCGTTTCATGGCCCGTTATCACGGCTGTGGGATTCTGCCTCTCACCCCACTATTAGCACCGTGGAGTGGGGATCGTTAGTTGATAGATCCGTTCCTGAGAAGGCATGACCTTAACTGTGCGCTATGCCTGAATTGGCTGTTTAGCCGATATCGAGCGCTCTCACGAACAGTTCACATTACGAGACCATTGAAGTAGAGATAAGTTGAAATATATGTTAGCCCCATGATCTTGTTATTGTATTATGGCCTGCATGATTCTGTCTCATGCCCCACTGATATTAGTAATGAGTTAGGGTCGTCGAGTCTATTTTTGTTTCTACAGCCTGCATGATTCTGCCTCATGTCCCACTGGTCATGGCGATAGATAAGATCTAACATGTTCATTAGATTTATCTTTATTAAATGGTTAAGTGGTGTTGATTTGTTTCTTTATATAAAAAGGGGTTCGGTTACTTATAATCATTGACTCAGTACAAACCGATCATCATTGATATCTTATTGGCATTGATTAATGTTTGTTTAAATAATATTTATTCTGAATGATAACTGATTGTTCTCACACAACCCCATGAGCTTTAACCGATTTATTCTTATGAATATGCTGGAATCGACTATTTAGTCGATCTCCTCTCATATCGGCCCTCAGAGCCGCACATTCGGGTTTCTTCTGGTAACACCGGCACGTTCCGCCCTTAATTACTGATAAGTTTTCTCTCTTGTCAATTACAGGGTCAAATTAACTAGCACGTCTTGGGAGGATTGCGCAGGATTGACCACCCTTGTGCTGAAGCTAGGCGGATCTGCTCCATCGAGCGGACCCTTCCGGCTTGCTACGTGTGTTCTCGGCACGGAGACGAAAATTCTGTGTCGACAGAAGAAATGTAGAGAAATGGGAAAAAGGGGATGACAAGTGGTGTCACTAGGCCCACCTATTAGCTTCACTGTGAGAGGAAGTAGGTGTACGTGTTTTTGTTTTTTGGCGATGTGGCTTGTGGGGGCATTGGTTGCTAGGCCGCACGCGCGAGGGAGGGAGAAGAGAGATGGTGCGGGCTGGCTTCGCTGGGCCATGGTAGCACATGCATATAGGGAGCGACTAGTTCGGCTAGTCTAGCTGCTGCGCTGGGCTCCTTTTCCTTCCTAAATTTCTATTCTTTGGTGGTAGAAAGAAGAAGTTTCTTAACTCCACCTACATGAATGTTGGCCGTCGTTCACTAGGGCATCTATTCTCAGGCCTTTTATCGAGTGTTTGCGTATGCGGTCATTCATACCGTAAAGCGTCGTACAAGTTTGGTTTTGAGATCTAGAGCTATTCAAAGCATGGGTACAATTTGATGAAAATCAGGCCTTTTACCGAGTGTTTGCGTATGCGGTCATTCATACCGTAAAGCGTCGTACAAGTTTGGTTTTGAGATCTAGAGCTATTCAAAGCATGGGTACAATTTGATGAAAATCAGTTTTTGAATATTTGTGTAATCCAGAGTGCTTGTAACGTGTTGATGTACCCAGCTATTATCTAATATAATTCTTCTTTCATCGAAAAAAGTCACTTAATTCATGATGTTGGTCAATTATTTATTAGTCAAGCACAAGAGCCAATAAGAAGCAAATCACATTGTTGCTTATTAGTGCACATGCTCAACCATGCTAGTTAGGGTACACCTAGTGCATCTAGTGTTGGTTTCCTACCATGCTAACTCACCATGCAAGGTTTTGGAAAAAGTTTTGGGATTTTTAGCTCTAGGATTTTTAGGGTTGTTACAGATGAAGCAGAGGTTGCTAACAAGGAGTAGCGAGTTGAAGTTGTCATGCCATTGCGAACTCGTAGAGACCGTTGGGAGTAGGAGAGACAGCTGGATGGGGGAGATCGATGGTGTCGATGGAGCTCCAACCATGGCGAGCGGTGGCGCTACTGGGCAAGGGAGGAGGCAGGAAGAGACGAGGTGGAAGCCACGTGATCGTAGCATATCATCGTCGTAGTTCTCAAGTCTCCCTGCAATTCGACATGGCCTCGCCCAAGCTCATTGGCCTCTTTGCCTTCGCCATGGCGGCGGAGGCATTCAAGCCCATGGCGGCCGCAGGCCAACAAGCTGCAGGAAAGGTGCCCTTGGGCGACCAAGCAACCGGCGGCGTGCCAGTGCCATGCCCATCGACGACACCTTTGGCGAGCATGGCCATCCCATGGAAAGGCAGTTGGAGGTGGGGTACGAAGCTAACGAGTGGGACCCACATGACAATGAGAGGGGCAATATGGTCTTTTCACAAGGCGCTTCTGTGGTAGCACCATGACCTGGCACGCCACACAAAAAAAGATCGTTTTTGGCAAACTTTCTTCTATCTCAGTGTGCAAATTTGTAAGAAAAATTGGAAGGGTGGTATTTAAAGTGTGACATTCGAGAGAGTGGCAAAACTATATATATATATATATATATATATATATATATATATATATATATATATATATATATATATAAGCCCGTCGAGCACCATCACTATTCACTCGGTAGGCAGGCATCGACGTGGCCACCTCGTTCCGCTCTGACGTGGCCGCTCTGACCTGTGAGACCGCGAGATCGGGAATCCCCTGCCCCTCTGCTCCTGAATCTCCCCCGCACGATAATTCCCCGACACATCAAGGACAACAGCCCCATCTCCTTCGCCGCCCCCAACCGCCGCCACCTCTCCGCGAGCCGCCCACGACGCCAACGGCCACCAGGACAGAGGGACGGCTGCTACTGCGGCAGTATGGGGGTCGACTACTACAAGGTGCTGCAGGTGGAGCGCGGCGCCTCTGACGTCGAGCTCAAGAAGGCTTACCGGAAGCTGGCCATGAAGTGGCACCCGGACAAGAACCCCAGCAACAAGAAGGAAGCCGAGGCCAAGTTCAAACAGATATCAGAGGCATATGAGGTTCGCGCGCCCGCTTCCTCACCCCATTGCGCCTCTGATCTGTGCTGGTGCTCGTAGTTGCTCGCTGCAAATGAATGTGTATCGATTGATGCGCTTACTAGGAAGGATCGTTTCCATTTCCTCTTATTATCGATTGGATAGCTGATTGTAATGCTGTGCTCGCCATTGTGTGAACGTTGCTCTTCTGTGCAAAAAGATCCAATCCCCCCACCCCCACCCGCCTTTTGATCAGAATTTTAGCTGATGTAAGCTTCGTGTGTCGCGTTACTTGTGGTAGTTTAAGGTTTGGACACTAAAAAAAAATCACATAAGTTGGACTCTGGCTTTCATCAGTCATTTTTCTCAGTCTATATGTTAGTGCCATTTGTCTTGAATTTTGGCACTTTATTCTTCTTCTTTATTTTCCCACTTCCTAAGTGCACGAGCAATTATGTTGATTTTCTCGTGCTCACCTGTACACTGATCAGTGATCACTGTGGCACCAATGAGCTAATTGTGGCATCTTTAATTCAACCAATGCTCTTTCCTGTTCTGCTTGCAGGTGCTAAGTGATTCCCAAAAGCGGGCAGTCTATGATCAGTACGGGGAAGAGGGGCTTAAGGGTCAGGTCCCACCTCCTGGAGCAGGTAGTCCCAGTGGCTCTTCCTCCTATGGTGGGAATGCATCGACATTCCAGTTCAACCCTCGCAGCGCTGATGATATTTTTGCCGAGTTTTTTGGGTTCTCAAGCCCATTCTCAACCATGGGTGGCATGGGCGGAGGTGCTGAGAGAGGCATGAGGGACTCAAGGTTTGGGATGTTCGGCGATGACATATTTGGGTCCTACCCTCAATTCCCTGGTGAGGCATCAATGCATGTTCCACAACAGTCTCAGAAGGCTCCTCCAATTGAGAATCGATTGCCATGCAACCTTGCTGATCTGTACAAAGGTACCACCAAGAAAATGAAGATCTCACGAGAGGTTTTAGATGCTGGCGGGTGAGTGAATGTTGTTATGTGCATTAAAATCAGATACAGTTCTTCTAATGTTATATTAGTCATTTGATAGTAGAAGAGGAACTTGATGAGAATTTGTGATTTGCACATTGTGCATACCAAAATGCGCAGAACCTGAAATCTTCATACTACTTTTTTCTTGAACAAACTGGAGAAATCTTCAGACTACTCTGTAGCTACATTACATATTTTTTATGATATCACTGAGGAGTGAGGACAACTAAAATCTGGAACCTGCTGACCATTTGCATCATACAAGCTTTTAAATTGCGCCAGTGTTTCTTTAACAATTTCTGATTTCCTGACTTTGGCCCAAAAACTCAAATTTTAATTCAGTAATCTGGTCATTGAGCTTACTTATGTACTTTTACTTGAGAGAATTGAAATGTGAAATATTATTCATTACCTGTAATCACCCTCCTTAGTTTCACACAAAAGTTCTAGGGTATGATTCAGTGTCAAATACTTAACTACAGAGGCGCTCAACCATTTAATGTGATATGTCTATATGAGTGAAGCAGTATCCCTTCCTTTTGAAAAATTAGATGTGCGTGGGAAATCTTGGAGCCTCACAATGGTTTTTTAATGTTAAATACAGCAGGGGTGGCCCCCTTTTGAGCTATCTTCTTATCTCCATTTTCTTGGCAAGGTTTTTCGTCAACTTTTCTTGATTTTAAAATGATCAAGCATTCAAAACTTCATAAGAGGAGCAAAATCTCCTGCTGTCTATGTTACACATTCCGGAGTCCGGACATCAGTGTCGCACTTAAGCCAGCATGTCATAGGATGGATCCATCTTACTCTAGTGATGTCAATAGTGTATTATCCTCCTGCATTTACATGCTTCTCAAATCGTGTCACTAGGTATTGCTATACCATTATTTCCCCATAGCCTAGTGAAAAGAGGCAACCTATGGGACGAAACTACACAACTTTAGGGACCTACCAAAGAAAGCTAACTCTAAGGGCAAAGTGAGACACACAAACAACTAGGGCCCATGTCAACTAACATTATCTTTTTAGTCAGAAAAATATTAGATGGAAGAGGCATATTACCCTTTCAGGCATGGTCTATGCGTTGGCTGAATTAGCACCACATGTTGAAAGTTAAAGTTAATTGTGCTTCCGGTGTCAGTTTAATAGGCAACCATGATCGCCATCTTATGTATGCTTTGCTTACTTCCAAAACTCTGCATATCAATGTCTCCTTTTGTTAGGGTTGAAGAATAATGTGATTGTAGCCCTTACATCATAACTATGTAGAGGAAGAGGCTTTAAGGCAGGAAACCTCTAGAGAAAGAAGACTCTGTAGAGTATAACGTAGGCAATTTCCAGCCTCGACACCAACCAGGGATGCACGCAGACATTTTATGTTTAAACAATGTGAGCAGTGAGCACCAAGATTTGACCCTTGGATAGGTGGAGTCTTGTGTTCACACCCCCACGACTATGCTGCTTCATTTGTTTTGCTATACTATTAAAATGAAATACAGAAGTATGGCAACAGACTAAAGGGAAATAAGAAACATGGAAGCTAATTGCTGAAATTCCTAAACTAACGTTTCATGCATTATGCACCAATACTGTGCTACCTTGTACCCATACCTGGCTCGGTCCTGTGCTAATTAATAATGGTCAAGAATTTGCTTATAGATTTTATTTGATCTTGTAGCTTTTATCTGTCTTTTACAGTTCAGTTAAGATCCAGTACATACAGGTGGATGGCTCCCGTCGCTACCGCTCCTGCTCCCCCTCCACCTCCCGGCGCCCACCCCTTCCCGTCCTCCTGCTCCACCAGCCGCTCGCCGTTGCCTATTCCGGGCGCGCCGACCACCCAACCCCCTCCCTCTCCGGCGCCTGAGGGATCCCCATTCGTCACGGCAGGGCGCTCTAAGGACCAGCGCTGGAGGGACGCCTCCCCGTCTTCTGAGTGCTTCTCCGACGACGGGTCACCTTCTTACAAGGACGTTCTCCTGAGCAGTGGCGTCTTGTCCGCTCACGCTGCCCCGTCCGCGGCTGCTGCTCCTCACGCGCTTGCCCCGTCCGCGGCTGCTGCCTCGTCGGCTCGTCCTCGCGCGCCGACCCGGATCGTCCTCAGGCCGCGTGACCGTCATGTTCGCCCTGCTGGGGTGATTATCCCTGACCGTGATGGTTGGGTAACCTCGGAGAATCGACGTGCCCGCCGCGAGCGCCGCCGGCGGGAGCTCCCTCCTCGGCGGCCTGTCCCGGAGGATCTTCGCGGGCGCTGCTTCAACTGTTTGTCCACAGCTCACAAGGCCGCGAGCTGCCGGTCCCGTCCACGGTGCTTCGTTTGCCGGGGTCTGGGGCATCTCTCTGGTGCCTGCCCTTCCCGGCCTCTGGACGCCTGCAGGCAGCTGGTTTGGCGGCCGAAGGTCTCGGTGATGACGCGGTCACCTGCCATGCAGTCTCCGGTGGCCACGGGCGGCGGAAGTGAGCACAAGCGCAAGCGGCGGCGGCGGCGGCGGCCACGTCGGACGCGTCCTGCGATGGGTGCGGCAAATGCGGACGACGACACTGGCGAGGAAGATGTGCCTAGCCACCCCTCCTCGGGGCCTAACGCCGAGGTTGCACTGTCTAGCGCCGTTGGGGCTCCGGTCATCCCAAGACGCGTTCTCCACCGGTCGGACCATCTCTCCCGCAACGAGGATGCCCTGAGATGCGCCCTGGTCATCACCTTGCTGGGGGGATCAGGGGACGGCGAGTTAGAGTTCATTCGTGCCACGGTCGCCCATAGGTTTGAGATCGATGAAGCTCGGCTAACCCAGCATCCATGGGGTCCGTCCAGCTTCATCTTGATCTTGCCTAATGAGGAGCTAGCTGGCATCGTTTACAACGGAGGCCGCCCCATCGTTACCACCACTGGCCGGCTTCATGTCATGCGCTGGACAAGGTTTCTCCAGGCCTCGGCGGCGAGTCTGTCGGTGGCTGTGGAAGTGGAGCTCGAGGGCATCCCTGCCCATGCTTGGGAGTTGGCCACCGCTGATGTTCTTCTGGACGAGGTCTGCTAGATTGATGGGGTGCATCCTAACAATGCAAACCGTCGTGATGTGTTCGTGGTGAAGGCTTGGTGCTCTGATCCTGCCCTCTTTCCCTCCGAGATGATGCTGGAGATCGTGGAGCCACCTTCTGAGGGCGGTCATGGCGTGCGGACGTTGTCCTATCTGATTAAGGTCACTGTCCACCTCCTTGATCAACCTGGATCGAGTCATGATCGCCCTCCCTCGCCTCCCCCTGAAGAGGAGGATCAGGAACCTCGTCGCCGGCGGCGAACTCTCGCGTCGCCGTCGTCCTCTTCTCTGGCACAGTCAGCGGCGCCGGGTGAACCTTCGGCGTCCGCCCAGGCTGGCCGGGCTTCGGTCCACTCTTGGCTGGGCCCACGCGTCCATCAGGCGTCGGCTCTGGACCCCACCACGAACATCCTGGCTAACGGTGCCTCTACGCTCGGGCTCGGCATTGATGGCCGGGCGGCGGCAGTTGATGGCTGGACGGCCGTGTCAGCTGGTTTCTTGCCACGGGAGGAGGCAGCGCTTGGTTCCGAGACAGCCCACTCTGGAACCGAGGAGACGAAGCCTGCGGCGTGTGGGGATGGTACTGCTATTGCAATATCGTTGCTTGAGGTCTCACGCACGCGTGCGAATGAATTTATGGCGAACGTCGACGCGGACGCGGATACGGCGGTGCAGGGCAAAGAAGATCCTGATGTCGGGCGAAGTAATGGCATTGCTGGGCCAGGGATTGAGGTCCCCTCGGAACTCTCCTGTGCGCCTGCGGTGTCCCCCACAGAAGCTCTGTTGGATGGCCTTGGGCATGCTTCTCAGCCTGATGATGGACAGGGCTTGAATAGGGGTGGGCCATCTCCTATTATCCCAGTTCCAGTTGATGGGCCTGAATATGAGGCCTTCCTGGATGTTGGGCTGCAAAATGAAGAAGTTGCTGCACCACAAGTTATTTGTTCGGGTGACCCTGAAGCAGAACATCCCAGGCATCAGGAACTGCGAAGAGTGCGAAGGGCAGCTGCTGTAACGAGATCGCCAAGATTCTTCTCCAAGGTCTACAACCGGAGACGTCGGCTGGTCAAGTCTTCTAGCGACCTGGCTGCCCCTCCGCTTGCTGTAGCCTCTCCCTCAACACCTTCACCTCGACGAGCTGGCAAGGAATTCATCAAGCGCCTCAGCAAGAAAACAACCAAAATTCTCCCGCCCCCTTGTATCTCTAGAAGGAAACAACAGCGTCTCCCACCGGGCGCTCCTCGCCGCAGTCGTCGTCTTGCGGGCATAGGAGTTGAATCACCAAAACAGCCTGCCCCCTCTCGTTTCAAGAAGCGGGTCATGAGATCACTGGACATCATTAGTGAACAGGAGGGTATCGATCAACAGGCCTTGGAAGAATACGCCAAATTCTTCACCCAACCTCTCTCGGCTTCCCACATCCAGGCGCTGGCAGCTCTGTTTGGATGGAGCTCTCCTGATGAGGAGGTTCTGATGACCTGAACGTGCTCTTGTTAGTCCCCACATCTATCTAGATGAATCCCTCCAAAATTGTGACATGGAATGTACGCGGTCTCAACTCTGTTGCTCGTCAGAATTCTGTTCGCACCTTTGTTGATGCTGTCAAAGCAGACATTGTTTGCATCCAAGAGACAAAAATGGATCAAATATCACGGCGAACTCTTCTTTCCTCACTTGGGTCTGATTTCGATAATTCTGTAGAACTACCATCTGATGGTGCAAGTGGGGGATTCTGGTAGCATGGCGCCATGCTCTTGGACCTGCTATTGCGACTAGAGTTGATGCCCACAATGTGTGAATTCAGTTTCGATCTTTCAGTGGACAGACTTGGTGGCTCACCTGTGTATATGGACCGCAAGGCAACAATAATAAAATCATTTTTCTACAGGAATTGAGAGATATTCGTGCTGCTTGCCAAGGACCGTGGGTGATACTCGGAGACTTTTATCTCAT